CGGGGGCCAGGCCGAGAGGCCAAGGGCCAGAGAGGCGAGCCTGAGGGCACAGCAGAGGGGAGACTGTCCTGATCGAAGAACTGTGTCCTGAGCATGTTCCTGGACCTGAGTTACAGCCTGTTACTTCCCTAATAAACCCTATAATCGTCGTAGGGTGTGGGGGATGGACAACGACTGAATAATTTCTTTCAGAAGGATCAGCACAAGGCCGGTCCCTGTGAGGCGGAGGTTGAAGACATCCCAAGCGCCCAACGTTTCCAAACTGCCGTGCTCCTTCCTCATCTGTGACACCACCTCCCCCTCCTCCCTCAGCAGTCTCCCTCCGTCTTAGGGTTCCGTAGTTCGCTGTAACGTCTCACAGAACCACAGACTCCCAAGGAAATGGCTCTTGTGGTGGGGGTGGAGGCTGCCACCAGGTCTGCGGGTCGGTCCGGCAGAGGATTCTCCCCACTCACGTAGTTGCAGGGGATGCAAACCCAGATCGACGCGTCGGATGACGGCCGCTGTCTCACGTCCAGGGGTGGGGCGGTCACGAACCAGACGCAGAACCGGGGCAAGAGGGTGAGCTTTCCCAGAACAGTCCCATGTGTGAGGGTGGTGACCGCAGTCCCACCGTCCAGAGGTCAGGACTCAAGGTGCACCCCACCCTAAGCAGGCACAGAGACTAGGACTTACATGCACCACAGAGTGGAGGTCGACGCTGGAAGGGCCCCCTGAAGCAGCTCACTGCACTGCAGGCCACCCCTGGCTCTTCTAGCCATCGGCCCTTGCACACTCGAAGCATTAATTTGTCTCTCCCAATCATGTTAGCAGTCCGAGAGTCACTGGCAGTTAGTCGCTTGGTAGGGCAAGGAGCCCTAAGAGTGAGGTCACTCAGGCGCCAGCCGCCCAGGCGCTGCAGGTGTCCATCTGACCTGCCCAGGTGCTGCAGTGGCTTGTCCCTCATCGCCCTTGCTGGCCTCTGTCAAGTCGGCCAGTGTCCCCTGGCTCTGAGTCTCTCTCCAGGTGGCAGCGTGGGGTCGGACTTCCCCACCGTATAACCCATTTATTCACTCACTGACCTTCGGCTGCTATTCCTCCTCTTTTCCATTTGCCATTTACTTTTATCCAGACTTCCCCATCTTGGGAAGGGACATCGGGTTCAGCTGCTGTGCCAGACCAGATCGCTGGTAGCAAGTGCTTCCCCCTCAGTCCACTCCCATTCGTGCTAGGTGTGGTAACAATAGAATATATGCTGGGTACAGGTACAAAACCTGTGGGCTGTCTCGCCCACTGGGCAAGACGGTAGTAGGCAGTGTCAGCCCCAGTTCTGCCAGATGGGGGAAGGTACAGTCCATCCCACAAGGCCCTTGGAATTCTGGCGTACAGCTTCAGGGGTGTACATACAGTCTCTTGCTTAGGGATCACCCCTCCCTCTGGCATCCACAGCCGGATCCTGGGGCCTGGGACCACAGCTTCGGGCAGGAAGAAGGCAGTGTCAGGTGATGGCAGTAATTGTACAGTGGCACCAGCCTCCTCCCCCACCCCCTCTTCCCCGGACGCCCCAGAGAAACGTCAGACTCTGTCCGGGGGTGACCCTCCCTTCACCCCCTCACGTCGAGTGTGGCACGCGCTCACTTTCCCCACAGTGATGGGGCTCCCCTCACGTCGAGTGTGGCACGCGCTCACTTTCCCCACAGATGGGGCTCCCCTCGCGTCGAGTGTGGCACGCGCTCACTTTCCCCACAGATGGGGCTTAATTAGGGAAGTACAGGTTCCAGTGCAGGTTCAGGAAGGCGCTCAGGGTGGCTCTTCCATCAGGACAGTCTGCCCCCTGCCGGGCCCTCAGGCGTGGCTCTGTGGCCCTTGGCCTCTTGGCCTGGCCCCTGCCCTGCTTGAGCAAGGGTTACAAAGCTCTTAGCTCTGCCGGTAGGTACACCTAGGTGCACCCCACTCCACCAGCAAGACTCCTACCCAGAGGCACTCAGCTTTCTTGCTCTGTGGGCACACAGGGTGTGACTGCAGGCAAGCCCACGTCCCTGTCTCGTGTCTCTTGGTTGCACTGCTGGGCGTCTCTGCCAGGGAGGTCCAGGGCCGGGATCTCGGGTCCAAGGACGCGCTCCACGTCACCTACAGCTCTTCCCTCTTGATGGCAGCAAGATCCCCTCTCTGCCTCTAGGAGGGCTTGTCGCAAGCCTGGCAGGGTGACCAAAGTAACCAGTCCCAACATCAGAGTTCTACACGCCTTTTTTCCATGGTCCCCTCCCTGCCACCCGTAATCTGGTGGGAGTTACAAAGACCGTGGCTACAGAAGCCACACCCGGTCATCCATTGCCCCACAGTGAGTTAGCCTTTTCTAGATGGTTCATTTAAGTGGGATCATAGAAGGATTTCTGTGGCTTTGCCGTCTTACACTCTCCATACTAGTTTCAGGCTTCATCCACGTGGTAGCATGACCGGACATTGGTTTTTCCTTAAGGCTGACTAGTAGGCCACTGTACAGGTGGACTGCGTTGTGTGACTCATCTCTTGGTGACACTTGGTTGTTCGCACCTCGTAGCTGTTGGGGATTGTGCTGCGTAGAACGTTGGTGTGCAGTCTCTGTGGGCCCATAGCAGGTTCCCTCAGTGGTGCGCCCCAGCCAACCTTCTGACCTTCCGTTTCTCTCGTCCTAGCCAGCTGGGGACGGGG